TGCCCTTCTTGACACCAGGCCGTTGTCCAAAAGTCTTGGCCTCACTGTGCGTGAAGATGCTCTCACACCAACCTGCTTTCATTCCTGAGCAAGCTCTGCACTGCTGGAGACACGATTCCGTATCTAACTCCTCAGGAGGAGACGGTCCTGGTGATTGCTGGACACTCTGGGACGTCCTGAAGATTTATTCACTGCAGTCGAACCTCTCTCCTTGAAGTTCTTGATGATCTGGTAGAAGCAATGTGAATGAACACCACAACAGTTTAAGCAGCAAACTTAGCAAAACACAAAATTTATGTCACTGCCAAAACTTTTGGCCATGACTGTATAACAGTTTAGTGGCAAATTAAAAGTGATAATGTCAATATATTATGTAGTGTTTTTAAGTAATACAGCTATGTAATAATTATATAACACTTATTTAATACTTATTTAATATAATAAGTCACTTATTTAAGTAGTATTGTACAAAATTGTGTTAAGCCTTTGGAAACACTGTAACAAAACTGAATTAACTTGAGCTGTTACACATGCATACATTTAGCCAGTGCATGTGCTGAAGGTAAGTAGAAATCAGGCCAAGTCAAAAGAGCTTTCACAAAAGCTGGAGCTATAGAGAACATACATTATTACATTAGAAAGTCTATGGCTGCAAGACAATTTCCAAAACACTTAAAGTTCCTCGAGACACAGCTTGACAGCCTTGTTCATAAGTTTAAAATATGCTGTACCAGAAAAGCTTTGAGGGTGTTGAAGAAAAGGCACAAAATCATCAAGGAGAATAAAATGTTTGATTAGAGCAACTGAGTAAAACCCCTCGATTTACTGTCAAAGACTTGCAAGATAGTTTGATGAAAGGAGGCAAAAACATTTCAGTTCAGTTTACAAGTATGAAAAACAGCAGAACTGTTTTTTTAATAGTAATTAGTTACTAGAAATAAATCATTATTCTATCATTATTTTGAAACATTCTGCTGTCCAAACAACTTTGTCTTCCAGTGTAAGTTAAAATATGTATGTATGCTTGCAGTCTCTAAAAAACAGGCTCGCACTACAGTATAGAAAGTCTTTAATAAGGCCCACGAAAAGAACCAGCATATCCTTTGCCAGTTTTCCTTTTTTTAATACTTTTTTTGTTAGTAATATAAAATAATTATCTGGTAATATGTTGTTACATTTAAGCTTACATTAAGCTGTGCATTTAGAAAAACTTTCTTTTGTAGTAAAATGAAAAGATGTTGATGACAAATGACATGAATTGCATGTGTTGCAGGTACAGTGGTCCCATCCAAAACAAAGATAGCGTATCACTTCTCAACACTGGTTCTGACTTACGGCCAGCAGCACACACTGCAGATAGAACCACGGGATGAGTATGGCAACCCCACCAGTAACTCTGTCTCACTTGTGGATGAGGTCAATTACAGCATGCATGTCCACCCAGTAAGGACACTTACTGCATACCCAGAGTTTTTTTATTCAAGCTTTCAAAGTTTGGATATAGGTCTTAGCATTAAAGGGGTTTCAGGTCCAGCAGAATTAGGAGTTTCCATTCAGATCTCTTTTTCTTACTGTTCCTACAGTTGGGCACAGTGGATGAGGAGAGCTCAGATGATTGCTACAGCACATCGGTATCATCAAACAAGCCACAGTGCCAAGTTCTGATGAGGCTTACCTTCAGGAAAAAAGGCTGCTTCAGAGCATGCATCTCATACAGGGACCAGCCCCTTAGCAATGGGGAGTTTGACATCATTGTACTCAGCGGTGAGTTAATCTTGACATTGGAGAGGTTGTTGTAGAGACTTTTTACCAACATGGTAAAACTCAAGGATCACCTTGTCACCAAATTCCATGAATTTTCCATTGTGTTTACTGGATAAAATGTAAAAAAAGAAAAGAAAACTTTTCAAAAATAATTTGCTTAACTTTTTCATTACATTAAATCACAATTTTAAATCACAATTTTTCGAAAGACGTGCAACTTGGGTAATTTGGTGAAACTAAATGTAAAACAAGTGACAATAACAAATCTGCCAGTGCAGACAAAATACAACTGTATTGAACATACATTCTCAGAAAAGTCTTAATATGTTTCTCAAATCATCAATATATATTACTGAATGAATATCTAGTATTGCCGGTGCTAAAATGTATTGCTCCGAATGGCCATATTCAGATTAATCCCCACAAGGTTCTGCCTGTTCTTGTCTGGCCACAACCCACAATAGTACTTCCTAGGTTTTGCCTTTTTTTAAATGAATGTTTTATGTAAAACTTGAATACCTAATATTAAACCTGACTGATTCAAGATTTTGGCCCAGTCTGTTTCAGTGGTGTTCAACAGACTTGAACCAATAACTGAACAGGCAGTTCTGTTGCCAGTAGTAAAGCTACTATTAATGTAACCCAGGGCTTCTTCAGATACTCTCATCGTGTTTTCAGGATGAATCTGAGACAAGGGGTCACCCAACATGTCAATAGGAAGAATCGCTGACAATTTTGTCTGATCTACAAACTATGTTTCACAACCAAACACATGCGAGAAGTGATGCAGGAAATAATGTAAGATCACAGACAGTTCTCACTAGAACTGGACCAATTATGGATCTACAGTACTTAGGAAAAATATAAGACTGTATTTCTTCCTGTTAGAAATTATAGCCCGCAAGAAGCTAACAATACAAGTTGTTTGTACACTGGTTTGCAGTGAAAAAGAAAAAAAAAATGAAGAAGATGGTTGCTTGCAGAAGCCATGCATGCTGATGTTTCTCTACAGATCTGACTCTACCCCCCGAACTTTCCCATGCCCTGTATCATGCTCTTTCATTGGCTGTAGCAGTAACACATTTCACACTGCAGGACTCTGATTCGGCAACAGGTCCAGATATTTAGCCTGCTAATGCTGGGCACACATTGCTGACAATTAATTAATTTATTTATTTATTGCATTTGTACAATAAACTTTAAAATCAGTTAATTCGAAGGATCAGTAATATGCAAATTAACATTTGCCTCTATAATCATAAATGAGTGGAAATGAGAAGTCATGGAGTTTTAGTGATCAAAGTGTGGGAACTCTGTTGTTCTCTTCAATGTAATTGCAATGTAATTGTAAGGGCAACAATGACAGAACACAGCAGATTGAATACATAACATCCAGAAGAGTCGAAGCACATTGCTGTAACCTTTTCTCAATGTCTTTTCACCATTATGCACTCACACAGAAAATGAGAAGAACTGTGTGGAGAAAAATGTATCTACCCCAGGCATAAGCATCTACTTTGAGGCCTACCTCTACAGCATGGGCACTTACAGTAGTTGTCCTTGGCAGTTTCTAGCATCCTCCCAGCTAGCCCTGCAGAGACGGCCCTCCGTGGGTGATGATGAGGAGGAACATGACTCCCCTGTAGAGGGGCAGTCAGAGAAATTCAAGAAACCAAAAAAGGTGTATTGCTATATCTCACCAAAGGTAAAATTGATTTTAAATGGGTTAATGCTACGTTTGTGTGGTTAATTTTGTTTGTTAATATTGGTTCTTTGTTCATTTAAATACTGACTTATTGTGTTTCAGCAATTTTCCGTGAAGGAGTTTTACCTGAAAATTATCCCTTGGCGCCTTTTCACTTTCCGTGTGTGTCCTGGAACTAAGGTTATCTTTTTTTCAGACTACCTTATTTTCTGAACCATTTTACCAAAAACACTATTCTTTTGCTAACTGCAAAAGCTGTTATTTTATTCAAGAATATATATTTTTCTTTTTGTTTTAATTCTGGCAGTTCACTTACCATGGACCAGACCCTGTTCATAAATACCTAACACTGGTAGTAGATGATGGGATTCAGCCTCCCGTAGAGCTCAGCTGTAAGGACAGAAATATCATGGCTGCAACCTTTATCCGCTTTCTCCACAAGAATATTGGTTAGTGTGAGTGGCAGTGTGCCGTAAATACAATCAAATGTAGATATATTGTTGTGTTTGATTTGTGTTTTGTTTTGTGTGTGTTTGCATCTTCTAGGTGGATCAGAAACTTTTCAGGATAAAGTGAACTTTTTTCAGCGGGAGCTGAGACACATTCACTCCAAGCGACCTCGCACTAAAACCTGCCTGAAAATCAGCCGTCACTCACTCCTTGAATCGGTGAGCACATCTGGCAGATCATTCCTCATGGGCCATACAGGGGCCAGTTGCATAAACTTAGCCACCATCTTAAGACTGTCTTAAAAATAGTTTGACCAACTAGCAGTTGCCAAAGGGTAATCAGTCTTACTTTTCCAATACAAATAAGACCAATCTACCTTTTCATAACTGAATTAAAAAAGTTATGACCAGTCTTGAAGAAAAACAATTAGTTGACTAACTTTTTAAGACTAGTCTAAACCATTTATGCAACCCGCCCCAGAACAGTACAGAAAGATGGAACAAGTCTCTCAATACCAGGGCCGGACTGGGATGCAATTTCAGGCCGGGAAATCTCACACTCATCCAGGCCACACAGAAAAAAGGGGCCAAAATTGCACCTTTTGGGGTACAATAGCTTGTCACTGGAGCAGTACTCTTAAAAGGACATCTTTGTAAATTTTTTACCCCTAATAGGAACATATTAATACCTTAGAGTAGTAATTCGTACCCTTAAGGTACTAATATGTAGGCATACCTATTAGGGGTAAAAAAGGAACAAAGATGTCCTTATAAGGTTACTGTTTCAGTGACAAGCTGTTGTACCCCAAAAGGTGCAATTTTGGCCCCTTTTTTCTGTATATAGCCTATACATCCACAACAATTTCTGAAACCA